ATCAGCACGGATCAGCTCTAGGCATGACAAAGCGATATTGTCCTCTTTTGGAAGGCCAAACAAAGTATTTTCATTTTCACAACGAATCACACAGTGCCTTCATGACATGGCGGCGGCGGCGGCAGCAACAATACTACAGCGAGAATAAAAGTTACGCCTTCTTTCTTTGCGTGAACATTTGGGGGGCGTTATGCAAATCTTCCCACATCGTGACGTAGACATGTGGGGGCGTGTTAGAACGAGGCGTTTTAGGGGGGCGTGGACCAGTCTTAACTTTTATAAAGAATATCTCTTTGGGTTTGAGACTTTAGTCTTTGCAACTTTAGGGATCTTATCTATTCACGAACAGCTTGTAACACTCCAAAGAGAAAGGAAAACTTGAAATTGCATCATATGACCCCTTTAACAGGAAGTTATGAGAGGCATAGGTGAATTAACCAGAGTTCAGGAGCGTTCCCTCACTGGAACATGGAATATATCAGACCTCCAGAGGTGGAGCTGGAAAACCAATGAAAGTGTACGGAAAGAAGGTGAGATTTCACCCTTGATTGGTAACTACAATGTTTGATCTGACAAGTAATTAAATCCGATTGAGTAGATGTAATAAGAAATGTCAGTGCTAAAAACTGTTGTTGTTTTTTTTTCTCTGTTTACAGAGCAAATTGATTTTTTCAGCTGCACAACCCAGGACTTCAATGTGACCATTTATCCGAAGGAGATCAGAACCTTTTTCATTTACTTTAAATAGACAGATTTGCAGAATCAGACTTTTATCTTCTGTGAAGATTCTTTATTAAGATTATTTCTAAATTGTGAGTAAAGATTTTAAGATGCGTACAATCTGAATCACCTTTTGAAAATTTGCTTTATTTTTTCTTATGAAATTATTAAAGATAGTGTTAAGCATCACACATCTTGTGAAGTGTTTAGACTCATTTGTGTTCTTTGCTCATTTAGAAAGTACATATACAATCTTGACATCAGGTCAGTGGGTGAGTGTGAACTTTATTTGTTGAAGTTCCATGCAAAAACTTTTATATCGCCACTGATACATGAATAGCATTGCTGTTATGTTTTCACATTGGCTTAAAGCAATATTCCACATCAAAATGAGAATTCTGTCATAATGCGCACACCTGTATGATGTTCAGTGTCATCCAGTTTTGAAACATGTTGTTCCAAGCTGTCTTTTTTTTTTTTTTGGTCTACATTGTACAATAGAAGTCAATGGGCTCCAATTTAGTTGGGTTCCCAACATTCTTCATAATATCTTTTGAGTTGATGAAAGAAACAGGATGAAGACAGAATTTTCATTTTTGGGTGGAATACCCCATCCAAGAAGGTAAATAATATGGTGAAAACATTGTCAACACATACAACTCATACAACAGTATGAAGACTGTAACTAGATTTATTTATTTTATTTTTATTGTTTATTACATTAGTTTATTCAATTTTAATAACTTTTAATTTGTGTATTGACAATGTCCATACACCAACGGATTCAGTATATGAATTGGAACATACAGTATATGTTCTGTAAAAGGCTATTTTTACAAGTTTTATATGTTGTATTGTAAAGCTGATTGAGATATTAATTCATACTGGCAATTACACACATTTATGTTAATACAGAAATAGATCTGCAGTCTGCACACTGTTAAAAGACTATTTAAAAAACTGTTAAAAGACAAGATGTTTACATGCGCTCAAAATATTTGTATAGAGATATATTAGTGATATGTTTGACTATGGTATAATGTATTAGTATTTAATAATGTGTTCTAAGATTGAGTTTTATTAGTATTATTAGTCTTTTTAGATGCACACACTCCCACTTTCATTGCGCAGCCGTAGGTGGCGTCATAACGATGACAGGCTGAAAAAGACAGAAACGGTTTACAGTTAAGAACTGTGCATAATACTGTGCATCATTCATACTGCTCACCAGCATCGACAGATATATGAAATGAGCGTTACTTACCACATGAGATCTGGGAGTGCAGCAAGGAATCACCTTGCAGCAGTATGCAGCTATTGTGATGGAGAGGACAATCTGAGTCACCTCCGTGAGCTGATCTAATGCATACAGTAGATGAAATCCCTTCTGTAAGTAAAGAGGATAAACGATATATAAATATACACTGATCGGCCACAACATTACCTGCCTAATATCATATAATTCCCCCTTGTGCTGCCAAACCAGCTCTGAGTCGTCAAGGCATGGACTCCACAAGACCTCAGAACGTGTCCTGTGGTGTCTGGCACCAAGACATTAGCAGCAGATCCTTTAAAATGTATACGTTTGCAAGGTGAGGTCTCCATGGATTGGATTTGTTGGTCCAGCACATAGATGCTCAATTGGGAATTCGGAAAACAGGGCAACACCTTGAACGCTTTGTGTTCCTCAAACCATTCCTAAACCATTTTTGCAGTGTGTCAGGATGCATTATCCTGCTAAAAGATGCCACTGCCTTCAGGGAACACTACTGAAGGGGTGTACGTGATCTGCAACAGTCTTTAGGTAGTTGGTACTTGTCAAAGTAACATCCACATGAATGCCAGGACCCAAGGTTTCCCAGCAGAATATTGCCCAGAGCAATCCAATGCGTCCACCAATCTGCCTTCTAGTGCATCCTCCTTCCATCTCCTCCCCAGGTAAACAACGCACACGTACCCAGCCATCTAACTGATCTAAACATGATTCATTTGACCAGGCTACCTTCTTCCGTTGCTTCATGGTTCAGTTCAGGCGTCGTGGGGACTCTGACCGGTCTGCGGCTACGCAGGCCCATCCGAACCAAACTGCAACCAGCTTTTAGTTTTGCAGCATTTTTAGCTACAATAGCTCTCCTGTGATATCGGACCAGACAGGCTAGCTTTCACTCCCTATCTACAATGGGGCCTCGGGCATTCATAATCCTGAAGTTGGTTTACCGGTTGTCTTTCCACATCTTTTGGTAGGTAACCACTACATACCGGGAACACCCCACAAGAATTGCCGTTTTGGAGATGCTCTGACCCATTTGTCTAACCATCAATATTTGGCCCTTGTCTATGTCACTCAGATCTTTTCATTTGCCCATTATTCCTGATTCCAATACATGAAATTCAAGAACTGACTGTTCACTTGCTGCTGTGTATATACAGTATACACACACACACACACACACATACAGTGCCCTCCACTAATATTGGCACTCTTGGTAAATATGAGCAAAGGCTGCTGTGAAAATAAATCTGCATTGTTTATCCTTTTGATCTTTCATTCAAAAAATTCACAAAATTCTAACCTATCATTGAAGTAAAACAATTGAAAGTGGGGTGAAAATCTCATTCTGAAATAAATGCTTTCTCTAGTTCATGTTGGCCACAATTACTGGCACCCAATTATTGCAACATCCTTTTCCCAAGATAACAGCTCTGAGCCTGAAGAGTTTTGAGAACACCTGATAAGAGATCAGAGAACATTCCTTCATACAGAATCTCTCCAGATCCTTCAGATTCACAGCTCCATATTGGTGCTTCTTCTCTTCAGTTCACCTCACTCATTTTCTATAGGATTCAGGTCAGAGGACCAGGGACGGCTATGGCAGAAGCTTCATTTTGTGCTCAGTGACCCATTTTGTGTTGATTTTGATGTTTGTTTTGGATTATTGTCCTGATGGAAGAACCACAGCCCATTATAAAATTTCTAACAGAGGCAATTGGGTTTAGATTTTTTATCTGTTGGTATTTGATAGAATCCATGATGCCATGCCTCTGAACAAGATGTCCAGGACCTCCGGCAGAAAAACAGGTCCACAACATTAAAGATCCAGCAGTATATTTAACCGTGGGTAACGGGGTACTTTTTTTATCCCTGTTTGTACTAAACCCATCTGGTGGGTTTGCTGCCAAAAAGCTCCTTTTTCTTTTAGTTTCATCTGACCATAGAAGCCAGTGCCATTT